AAGACTGCAGGGTCTCAGGGGGGCTGTGCAGGATCTGTGAGGGGCTCTGCAGGGTCTCAGGGGGGCTGTGCAGGATCTGTGGTGGGCTCTACAAGGTCTCAGGGCGGCTTTGCAGGATCTGTGGTGGGCTCTATGGTGGGCAGGGCTCTGCAGGGTCTGTGGTGGGCTCTTTGGGGTTCCGCTTTGCATATAACCTTCCACAATCACAATCAGGGAGAACACCATCTTTCTGACGGGATGTGCACAGAAGGACTAAATAGGAAGGCAAAATAAAGCCGGAACACTGCACACGGGGCGACACTACATTGCCAGACAGAGAGCAAGAGGCAGCGGCCTCCTCCAAAGAGCGTGGTACCGGTATTGGAGGCGGGCTACTTTTTCGTGCCCCACCCTGTAGTATTTACTTTGCAGTCTATCTTTTACACAACATACAGTATATACTGTGGTCAGGGGCGTCCCGAGGCCGGGAGTCACCGCGCATGCGGGGCCATCTGATTGATGCCTGCCGGTGCCCATCTTGGTGATGGACGCCAGCAGAGCGAGGAGGGGACATTCACCCTGCAGGATGAGATATGTCGCCGGGTCCCCTCCTCTCTCCTGACACTGTCGGGCTCTCGGTCCATGACCGAGTGCCCGACTTTTTAGAGGGGGTGAAACCAAATTGACAGTCAGTCATTTTGGTGTCACCCCTGCAATGGTGACACCCGGGTGCGGGCCGCACCCCCCACACCCCCCTTGTGACGCTACTGACTGTTGTGCATAATACATTCTGTGTTCTCTATTTTGAAGTCTGTACTTGTCACTTTTATCCCTGGCCTGGTGTGCTTTGTGTCAGTGGACGTTCCTGGATACGTTTGTGCCAGCTTGCTGATTCCAGTAACAATGTCACACAGCATCCTGGCATCAGCAAAACTATGAGCCATCCGGAGAGTTCCACATTATCTGCATTGTGCCTGGCACTCCACGCAGAGGTAGGGGGAGTCTTTATAAAGCAGAGCCCCCCTCCCGGGGACATCCAGCTGGAGGTCTCTGTCTGTAGGTGGGCGTCAGTGATGGCTATGAGGAGATAAGGTAAGTCCTGAGCACTGGCATATCCCACCATCTCATCCATTCCAGCTCTGCCAATACTAAGAGCACCAATTAATAATAAAGGTGGAGGGTGGAAACCAGCATAAAATCAATAATAGAGGTGGAAGGGGTAAAGCCAGAATATAATCAGTTATTGTGCAAAAGAAGTTGAGATATTGAACTTTTGAATGTATTGAATTTCAGTAAGTTCTCTAATATCTCCTTCTCGTCGACATATATGGCTCTCATTAGGCCATATCAACCCTTATATTCCAGCATAGAGCCCATTTTCTGAATTGAAATAGATTAATTGTAATAAAGAGCAATAGGACTCATTGTAAGGGGTGGAAACAACAAACCCTCCGAAACCACAGAGTTATATAGAGATGTCAAAGGTTGCCCAAGGATACAGAGGACATGTGACAAGTGGCAGAGAGAGGAGAAAGGAAGAGGACAGGTGACATTTGACAAGTGGAAGACAAAAGAGAAATGGGAAGGACAGGTGACATGGAACAGGTGGGAAAGGAAAGATGGGGGAGGTTAGGTGACATGGGACAAGTTGGAGAGAGAAACGAAAGGGGGAGGGTGGGTGACATGGGACTGACGGGGGAGGACAGGTGACATGGGACAGGTGGGAGAGGGGAGGACAGGTGACATGGGATGAGTGGGAGAGAGGAGAAAGGGAGAGGACAGGTGACATGGGACAGGTGACATGGGATGAGTGGGAGAGAGGAGAAAGGGAGAGGACAGGTGACATGGGATGAGAGAGGAGGAAGGGGGAGGACAGGTGACATGAGACAGGTGGGATATGGGGGAGGACAGGTGGCATGGGACAAGTGGGAGTGAGGAGAAAGGGGGAGGACAGGTGACTTAGGACAGGTGAGGAAGGGGGAGGACAGGTGACATGAAAGAGGTGAGAAAGGGAGGAAAAGTGACATGGGACAAGTGGGACAGAGGAGAAAGGGGGAGGACAGGTGACATAGAATAGGTGAGAAAGGGAGCAAGGGGGAGGACAGGTGACATGGGACAGGTAAGAAAGGGAGGAAGGGGGAGGACAGGTGACATTGGATTGGTGGGAAAGAGAGGAAGGAGGAGGACAGGTGACATGGGGCAGGTGGGATATGGAGGAAGGGGGAGAACAGGTGACATGGGATAGGTGGGAGAGGGCGGAAGGGGGAGGACAGATGATATGGCACAGGTGGGAGAGGGAGGAAGAGGGAGGACAGGTGACATGGGACAAGTGGGAGAAAGAGGAGAAAGTGGAAGGACGGGGGACTTCAATTCTTTCTGGGTCATTAGTCCTTAGCAGGTAAGATGTTTCCTCAGCAATGTCCACATTTGGTCCATCACTTTTTTACTGTCTTGTTCTTTTTTGACATGTTGGAGTCCTCTCTGCTTTCATATTCGGTTAGTTTGAATATTTGAATGTACTTAAATGGCCATTTTCTGCCCATACTTGGTGCATTGGCTGTAGGCTGCGAGTTTGGTCAGGCAGATTCAAATGCAAATTTCACCGGCACTCCAGCACGAAGATTCACGTCAGTGCAAATCCCCTTTATTGATGGATGTCATAAAGACTTTTCATAGTCTTTATGACATCTATCAATAAAGGGGATTTTCACTGACGTGTATCTTTGTGCTGGAGTGCCGGTGACATTTGCATATGATACTGTATTTTAAGCGGCGCCATCCGCAGTCATTGCGGGCACCCGTTACTCTTGGGATATCCGGTAAGGAGTGCGGCACGGTATATGGACTTTTTGGTCAGGCAGATGACACATCAGAAAGCACTGAAATTTAGTGACAATGGCATTTGCTGACTATGTTCCTAAGAGCCCCCACACCAGGGCCTTCTAACTCCGGGGGCACCAAGTTGGGTCAAATGGACACTGAAAATGCTTTTTACCTGAATCATAAGCATATTATGATTTCATTCTCCCATATTACAATACAAATGGGATCGGCGATGTCCATAATATGTATCATGACATTATTTCTCATCTCGCAGACGACAGACAGGTAAAAATGTACACCTTGATGGGCGGCGGTCTGCTCTGTGCAGTCTCTGGATTGGTTCTCCTCATAGTTGCCACAGCGACCGACTTTTGGATGCAGTATCGGTACTCAGGGAGTCTGAGTAACCAAGGTCTGTGGAGGTTCTGCGTGGTGGGGAAATGCCATGCCCATACCATCACGGTTGGTAAGTGCCCCAAACCTGACATATATATGTGCAGTATTATTTGAAGATCTGAGAGCTTGGCCTATAATACTTTACTCAGGGTCATGGTCAGTGTTAGGCCATAATGCATCTCCAGCAAAGATTGGACTGATAAGGACTGACCTCGGTAACACACCTGTCTGCATATGGCCGTCAGTTGGATCTCTGTTAAGACCATCACTAGCCTTAGCACTTTTCTTTCTCCTCCTCCCCAGCATTGTGGCCATAGTTTATAATTTCCTGTAAGCCCGTTCCTGAGAAATTTCTCTGAGCCCTTCAAAATTCTGCTCACCTCTGCAAATACCATACACAACCAGTCCAGCAAAGGTCCTACAGGAGCAGGGGTACAGGTAAGTATAAACTATGACCAAACTGCTGGGGAAGGGGAGAGGAAAAGGATAAGTGTGCTAGAAGTGAACCTGTCCTTTTACATTTGCTGAAGTTGTGGTCTTTGTAATATCGTTAGATGCAGTGTTAGTCTTAGGGTTAAATTAGGATATTGACTACAGGTGGGGTCAGATTTTCATCTTGGAGTTCAGGTCAGTGTTATGAATAAAGGAAGGTGTCAGTGTTAAGATAACAGGTAAGGTTAAGGGGTTAGGGTTGGTGTTATGATTACAGGTAGGGTCAGTGTTAGGTTTGGAGTTTGTGGTCAGTGTTAGGATTGTGGGTAGGTTCGGTGTTAGGTATGGAATTAGGATCAGTGTTAGGTTTGGAATTAGGGTCAAAGTTAGGACTACAGGTACCATTAGTGTTAGGTTTGGTGCTGTGGTCAGTATTAGGGTTGCAGGTGGTGTCAGTGTTAGGTTTGGATTTAGGGTCAGTCTTAGAATTACAGTCAAGGTCACTGGTAGGTTTAGAATTAGGGTCGGTGTTAAGATTACAGCTATGGTCAGTGTTATGTATGGAGTTTAGGTCAGCGTTTTCAGGATTGTGGGTCGGTCAGTGTTAGTTCTGAAACTAGGGTCAGTGATAAGCTTACAAGTAGGGTCAGTGTTAGTTTTGGGGTTAGGGTTATGATTATAGGAAAGGTCAGTGCTAGGATTGTGGGTAGGGTCAGTGTTAGCTTTGGAATTAGGTCAATGTTAAAATTACAAGTAGGGTCAGTGTTAGTTTTGGGATTGGGGTTATGATTACAGGTAAGGTCAGTGTTAGGTTTTGGGGTTAGTGTTATGATTACAGGTATGGTCAGTGTTAGGTTTGTAGTTTCTGATCAGTGTTAGGATCGTGGGTAGGTTAGGTGTTGGAATTAGGGTCAATGTTAGGATTACAGATATCACTATCAGTATTAGGTTTGGTGCTGTGGTCAGTGGTAGGGTTGTGGATGGGGTCAGTGGTGGGGTTATGTATGGGGTCAGTGTTAGGTTGGAAATTAGGAGCAGTCTTAGAATTATAGCCAGGGTAACTGTTAGGTTTAGAATTAGGGTCGGGGGTTATGATTACAAGTATGGTCAGTGTTATGTATAGAGTTTAGGTCTGTGTTAGGATTGTGGGTAGGGTCAGTGTTAGATCTGAAACTAGGGTCAGTTTTAGGTTCGGAATTATGTCGCTGTTTACAATTACTAGAATTACAAGTAGGATCAGTATTAGGTTTAGAGTTGTGGTCAGTGTTATGTTTAGACTTAGGGTCAGCGTTACCGCAATTTCCACTAGTGTTAAGGACAAAATGCAGCCAACATCTTACCAACACTGTTACAAAGTGAGGGTCAGTGTTGGGACTACCATTAGATCTAATTTTAGGAAAATATTGGTGTAATGTCTGGGGTAATTTTTTCCAAGTCAGGGTCAGGATAAGTATTACATATACAAGCTTGGTTAGGACATCTTTGGTGTAGGGTCAGTATTATGTCAGAGATAAATGAACTTGCACTGGGCTTACTCTGTATTTAGTCTCTAATTCTCTCCACCATTTGGTTGTATTCAGCATTCTGGGATGCCACACGAGCATTCATGCTACTGTCCATCCTATCCAGTTTTGCTGGTATCATCCTGGGTCTCACCGCGTTTTCCAGTGGGGCCAAGTCTGCTAGAACCCGCTCTGCAGGAGTCACGTTGCTGGTAGCAGGTAAGTGCCATCAGAAGACTTATCCAGAGAGCTAATGTATGTATTTCGGTGGCTAACTTTACCGTTGCAGGATGTGTGCCAATATATTGTAGAGAAGATCTTTCACAAGGCATGCTTTCCTTGTTTCAACATTATTTCAATGGTGCTAACATCTGCAGTGTCCTTGTGTTGTCTCATGTGTGATACATGCCCACTAGGTGTCAGCAGACTGTAAGTAGTTGTTCGTGTCAGAAAGATCTGCCCCTTGACGCGTTTCGTCACTTGACGTTTTCTAAAGGTGAACAGATCTCTGTAAGTAGTACATAGTATACAGTTTATCTTAGTCACATAAACATATGGTTACATTTCTGGTAAAACTTTATAGAAAGGTGAATGAGCTTTCAAACTACACTTAGGAGAAAAAAAAATACGCCATTACCGGTACTTTCCCTTTGCAAGTTCTGTTTTTAGCCAGCCACATAAAATGTAAAGGGTACCTGTGGTCAGGACACTCAAATCATTTCATTCACCTAGGTCATCTCATTCCAGGAACTGGGCGACAAGGGCTACACGCCCATTAAATAAGGCAATCTGAAAAATGTAATAGCTCCTAACTCCCATCCCATGCAGGGGCCAGGGCACAATCGTAAAACCTTCTGTAAAAGCCTGATGGTGCAAAAAGAAGCTTGTGGACATCAAACATAGTTTTATGATACAGTATGGCATATTTAGTAATATTTGGGTATTTTTATGGTTCTGCTGGTTCTGGCAAGCATAGAGTGTTGGAGTTTAGACTCTACGCATAGCAGGACAATGACTAAAAAGGGGTACTCTCACTTTCAGATCCATAACTGAATATAGTTATTAGGTTTTAAAGTTTGTCGTTACAAAAATCCTATAGCTGACATTAATGAGGAAATATGCTGTGCCAGCCCCTGCTATCCAATTGGATAGTTGAAATGGGTGGCAACTTTGATTTGTAAGGTATAACAATGGAGATCTGCCATCCACTTGGGGTGTCACATCCGAAGGGACAGAAACAGGATGTCACCAGCCCACCAGAGAAATGTGTCATAGCAAATGTCAATTTGAGTCTGATGAAGCCTGTAATTTGTGGGTGGTGACCCAGATCGGGTGAACTTTGGGGTTATGGCAACAATCTACGAGTTAATGACGGACGGCAGTGCCTCATGCATCCTCCAGTATCCTCGTAATCCCTTGGTACTCCTGCCCATGATCTTTGACACAGGGCAATGTGGAAACTGCAACTTCAGTTGTCCCACAACTAGCATCAAGGCATTATACACACACCTAAGGTCTCGTGGCCAGAAATTAATAAGGCGATAGAGCATATGGCCTCTAGGTGTCAAAGTTGCCAACATGTGAGCAGTAAATCAGAAGCAGAACTAGTTGCAAAAAACTGTTTGCTAACAAGTCCATGAGAGCAACTGGCTAACAAACTTTGTGATATACCACCTTGACCAATTTTTGGTTGTGAATCCAAATTGACGTTGGCTGAAGGCATCTTACAAGAGAATCTTCATCAACTGTAACTGATGCTTTGTGGTGATTTTCTGCTTCTCATGAACTTCCTAAAATGATGGCCATGAGCAAGTGAAGGAGTGGAAAATAAGGATGGGACTTTGTTGAAACTAATTTGAGCTGCATACTCAGAACGCAAAGATTAGAAAAAGGACTTTTGGTGGTTTCTTTTGGTGTGCCTGACCACTCCTCAAGCGACAACAGACCTCCTTTGGGGTCTCAAATTCAGGACCAACTTGCTGGACATTGCAGACCACCCTTCTAAGGTTACTGGATATTTCCAGAATGAGGGTGGTACATCTCTTAGCCAGCAATATGCAGAGCGCATATGTGACTACTGGCCTAGTGTCCTCCAACAAGCAGAATAAATATATAGCTATAAAAGCTATGCCATGTATACTGTGCTAGACAAACTTTTTTGTAACAAAGTTTGTTGTGTCAGAGGACCGCGCTGCAGAACTTGGACATCCAGCTGGAAGGAGCGATAATCCTCCTCATACAAATACATCAGTAAATACATCAGAACCAGCAAAAGCAAAGCAGTCCATCAAGCCACCAGCATACCTTAAAGACCTCATGAACGGGCAAGGATTTATAGTGACATGTTCTTTGATTTGGTTTGCAGCCATCCATGTTATTGTCATATATGTAGCGTATACATACACATTTCAAATACTGTTGAATTTACGGAAATAAGGGCTTGTAGTATTTCTTGGTCTGCAATGTGTTATACTGCGAGCAGCACAATTGGTTACAATTGCGGAACTCATCCCAGTCTACGTGATCTAGAGCAGTGGTTCTCAATCTGTGTAACCTCAGCACCCACATTTGTCCTTGGTCATTAAGTCGTGACCCAAGTCGCTCCGTACTGGAACGCATGGCATTGCGGCAACATGCTTTGCTGTGCGGGCACTCGAACTGTGGGTGGGAGGTCTGTTTGCGGTGCCATTCAAAGGAATGGCAAATTCAACACACCTCCCACACCAGAATGCACAGTAGGTGTGATTGTATGGCAAGGCGTGTTAATCGCATGAGACTGTGCGATTAACGCACTGTACTAGTGTGAACGGGCAACCAAAAACACTGACAGACAAACACAACCACAGACCCAATCTCACACACTCACAGACATTCTCACACACACATACACACTTCACAAATGTTTTTATTTTTGTTCTTTTTTAAGATCCATCCAGTCTCCCTACCTTACGAGAACTGGAGTGGATCCTCAGCCTGGAGTCCAGTGTGGGCTGCCGTGCTGTGGTGGAGCTCCATCCATATGCCCATTGCTTGTACAGCTCTCTTGCATTCCCTGTAGAGTTGCCGGGAGCCAGAATGTGACGTCACTCCGGTCCAGGCACCTCTACAAGGCACGTGAGGGAGCTGTAAGCAATGCACGTATGGATGGAGCTCCCTTGAGGCCATAGCCCCTTCCCACCTCAAGCTAACACTTGGCACCGAGCAGCATATTTTGAATGGCTGCTTGGTGTGAGAACTGACAGTGCTACACTAGGGGGAGGCTGCGGAGCCTCTCACCTAGAAAAGTGGAAGGCGCGCGGTGACCCATTGAGCACGGGGTCGCGACCCACTTTTGGGTCACGATCCACCAGTTGAGAACCAAGGGTCTAGTGTATAACCTGGCTGGAGAATAAAGTGGCAAACTGTCTGTGGTTTGGTGATTTGTGCTCCCAGGCCCATACCTAGCTGCTCTAACTGAAGCAGGAAGCCCAGTAGACTTCTATAGGAGGTCAATGTTAATTAGACTAGTATACTTACCTCCCCGAAAACTTTACATGGACATTTTCTGGAGGTCTATTTTAGGAGACCATGGCATGCCCAGCAATTTATTTTTTTCTCTTTTGTTATCCATGTTTTTCGGTTCCGGGGTTGGTTACTGCTGCCCAGCAGGTCCTAACTTCCGTTCTGACTCCGCACATCTAAAAGCCATTAAGTGCACTGGCCTCCAGAACAACCAGGAAGCACCCCTGCGGTTGACTAATGTCTAGGAAGCTGTTGTGTCGTTTCCACCTACACAAGGTTGTCACGGCCTTCACCATAAGCTGATGTATCTAGTGAATTGCACAGTGAATTGGACTTTTATCCTCAAGGCCTAGTACATGTGGGGTCCAGATAACTCCCTCCAGCAGAGCCAAAGCAAACATTAATTAATCAAGATACAGAAATACACAGCTACCCTGTGACTGCAAGTATTTACACCTTCTGTGATTAATTATCACAAACTCAGCGAAGCATAATAAAGGTGCAAAGAATGCCGGGTGCCACATTCCATTGTATCAATATACTATTGTACTAAGCTGTGTTATACTTCCTGGTCAGTATTTTACATCCAGGAATATACTGTATATAATAGACTGGTCTATATATTCTAAAACTTTCCCCACATACTATATATACAGTATTCTATACAGGTAGACATTACATATTGCACCACAGTCAATGGTACTACTGTATGGTACTACACACAAGAGTATATCCTATATATTTCTGTATAGAGACCCTGCCTTAAGTTTGGACTGTCCTCGTCTAAATATAGTGTTTGCGGATAGGCTGTACCCAGCCTGAGCTCTGATTCTTTACGAAATCTGGGTTTGTTTGGTTTTCCTAAGCCCAGGACAGCTTTTGACTGTGTCTGGGGAGTGTTCTTCAGTAGATAGAGTGTAAAGATGCCATGTATTGGGTAATCAATATTTATTTTACCCTGGCCAGTCACTAGGTGGTATATACCAGTGATATACAGTACTGTGCAAAGGTTTTACTGGCTCAGTGTGTCGACTGCGCGGGGGTAGGTCAGCGGTGCGCGGGGGGGGGGGCCTAATTGCCCGGCCTAAAGCCATGTAAGGGGCTCAAAAATGTCTGATGGCTGCCCTGGGCCCACCTAATCTACACTAGCCTGTGACACTTTACCTCCTTGACAACTGAGCCAATAAAATCTGCAAATAATGATTGATGGAGTGAATGTTTGACTTTTGGTTGCCACTGGTGGGGCAGCGAGTGTTTGGGGGCAGCTGTAACCAAAATCACCATTAGAAAGTCTAAAAGGTCCCTCAAATCTTGCAGCTGCTCAGCGGGAATGGGCTTAGGAGGATACATACAATACATTCTACATATTTCATATAAAGTGTTAGATTTCGACGTAACAATATTCTAGTGTGGTCTCTTCACGGAAGTATATACTGTGTGTGGGCTCCGGACCAGGGGTGCCATATCATAATAAAAAGTGGGATACCCTGTCCTCCATATTATTTTTCTCTCTACCCTCTTCTTTTTCTTTGCTGTGTTCCCTGTCGTTTGTTTCTTTCTCCTATCCTGTTGTCCTCCCTTTGCTGGGCCATTAGTGCTATGGCCATAGTAATTCTAAGGAATAGGTGAAAGGAAAAAACTGTTACCTGCACAGGTAAGGAAATGGATGTACATAATATAAAAAAATCTCAGAAGCAAGCTTAGGAAAAGTTGAGGTGTGTTTGTCAAACTCTGGATGATTGTAACAATCAGTGCAAAGGAGACGTGGGGCCCCAGCCATATATACTGTACTATATCTTTATAATAAACCTATGCCACCAATAGTGGTCCTCTCTGTTGCATTCGGCATTGGATGAAGCATGATGTGACATAAGTTCCTCCTCTCCTCTGCAGGGTTCTTTGCTCTCCTGGCCTTGTCCGTATACACAGGCGTGACAGTGAACTTCTTTGGGAAACGCTATGCTGATTGGAGATTTTCCTGGTCGTATATTCTGGGCTGGATTGGAATCATCCTCACCGTTTCGGCAGGTATGCGAATTCCCATGACAAGATGCATGTGATGGTGACATATTATATAAAGGAACTTTGTCTGGATTCTCCCACATGCTCCTCACACTGTCCTATTGTTCTTCTCCACTGGTGGGAATACATGGACAGGCGTTTCCTTGTAGATTACTTTCTGTGGGAAAATGCAAAACGCGTCTCTTATTTTTCTGTGTTTTGTCTTTCCAGGAATCTTTCATCTCTGTGCCTACACTAGAAGCAGCCCTCAGGACGTGGGCAATGTGTCCAGTGGATGAGGCCACTTCTCCTCCAGCTGTACCCCATTAATACTTGTTATTTGTGGCCCAGCCTCTGAGGGCAGTAACGTGGCTATGTGACCTCGGCCTGTCACACGTACCCACAGAGGATGGCGCCACTGGCCCCTGCTGTCTGTTTATTCACTATTTTTCTATTTTGTATTTACCAAAAATGGATTTTATGAAGACACTTGCTTTTATACTGCTGTAGGGACTGACTGTGTCTAGCCAAGATCTCACATTGGACTGCAGCATGAATATTGCTGATAATATCTCTCAAATGTCTCAATGTCAATAAAATATATCAGCTGAAATTATTTCCGATACATTGATTTGACTGAGATCAACAGACCAGAGGAATCAAAGGGAATCTTCCCCGACACCCAGGTGGGGATGCTGCTTCAAGGGTCAGATTATGTGTGAATGTTGGTAAAATTGCTGGAGGAATGACATCACTCCAGAGGGCTCTATCATAAGAAAAAGAGTGATTACATCCTCCAAAGTATGAACAATGGAGAAATGTCCCCAATCGGCCACGGAAAGAGACGTGTTCAGAAATGTCTCCCCATACAACTGGTGAAGAGTTTATAGAATGCAGTTCTTACGTTCAGTTGGAAGTTTTGCCAAGCTTGCATCCGTAGAGTGTCCTCAAACAACCAAAGAGCTCAATGAAACATGGTCCAAATCTGCCACCAATTCTGCCTTTGGCCCGGTTCACACCTGGGCTTTTGTAGCGCGTTCCTACGCTCTGCAAAACGCTCAAACACCGAAATCCAATTATTTCCTATGGGTATGGTTCACACCTGGGCGTATTACAGGCCATATGAACGCGCTACAAAACGCCCTACGCCCAAAGACGTACAGGAGCTTCTTTGGGGCGTATTTGCCACGTGTATCCATTGGGATACAGCCAGGTAGCGAATCGCGGTAAAAACGCATGGCACGAAACGCGCGACAAACGCGCATATTCGATACGCCTAGGTGTGAACCCAGCCTTTAGGGTTTCACAGCTCCAAGCACCACGTGCAATGAGCAGACCTTTAAAGACTTAGCCAAGAGACAATATGGAGCATTTCTGGGTATCACAGGTTCTCTTCATTAACCACACACAGATTTTTTTATGTATTGACTTGGAATAAATCACTCATTCATCAGTATAGAAATTAGCCATGCCAATACTCTTGTGGGTAGAGTCAGGAGAAAGAGGGAAGCAATATGTCACCTATTGCGAGAAGTCTGCAGCCAATGCCTTCAAGCATGGACAACATCAAGCTGCGCATGCACAACTCGGCCACCAAACAGTGGTTCATTAGAGCAAGTCTGTAGGCACCATACAGGAGGCCATAGATGGCTGAGTATCTCCCTGAGAACGGCAGGTGGGTGACCAATCTGAGTATCTCCCTAAGAATAACAGTTGGGTGACCAATCCAGCGGTGGGGTATAAATAGAACTTTCTTCTCCTTAAATAGTAGTAGGGTAAAAGCACAGGTCCTCTTTCAGGGGGACCTCCCTAGACAACACCAAGCCCTGGAGGGGTTGTAGCTCCCAAGCAGCTCATTTATTGGAAGCAATATCTAAGATTGGGGCGATGTCTGGAATTTATGGGATTGGTCATGGCTAGACTATGCTGGGAGAGATGGGAAGCATCTAGGGCCTTTATAAAGCAGTGAATATGACATTCAGTGAACATTCTCTGCAGGTGAATCTTCTAGGACCTAGGATCTAGGTGTTTAAATGATTGATTGTGTGGTGGTTAAATGAAGAATGTGTGGTGAAAGACACAATCACTGCTTTGTAAATATGCACCTAAGTGTCTTATCTAGTTTAAAAAATGAAGATAGAAAATGAGAAACCATGAAAAGTAGATAACAAACCCTGCAGGTCTGATGAATCATTACTGAGAGCAGACAGGCACTTAGTCACCCCAGAAAACCCCGCTCAGCATTCACCCGTCAGACGTCTTGCAGACCTAGCCCCCCCTCAGCCCCAGGCTGACACCCTGACAACTCTAAGAAAATTCCTAATCATAGCCAACCAGAATGTGTCACTAAAGAAGAACTCCAGATGGGTCATTGGTATATACACCCCATTTTCACACAAGGGGGGCACAGCAAGAGAGATGCTGAACCCTTCCAATGGAATGCAGTTCATCCAGATTGCTATGTTCAGCACTGTGAAAAACTTCATGGGTTAATTCCAGAGAACTCATTGAATTGGAAGAACCAGAAGCCCCCTTTATACTCCACCAAGCCTAAATATATGTTGTGTTTGTAGCCAGAAGCCAAATATTGGATGAAGCCTGGAAGACGATCGTTCTTTCTTCACAGATTTGTTTTCATTCCACCTCAATAGAAAGTCATGAAACTCATTAAAGGTCTTTGTGTACCGCAGAGTGCAGTGAGAGCGGCTTTGTCTGGCATACAATATGTCTGCTTGTATAGCATTGTGAGCATTGAATGTGGTCATGTCTGACTGCACCTCCAACCTCACCAGCATTCCTATACAGGGGATCGATCCCATACAGTATGGAGGACCAATTATTTACAGTATAGAGGACCAATCATATACACTATATAGCAGGGCTCAAAATGTCAAGTCCTGAGCTACTAGCCAGGCCTTAAAAGTTACTCGCCACCAGTTGCCCCACCTAACCCCTACCCTGCCCCGACCATAACTCCGCCAGGTCAGTAATGTAACGCACAGCGCAGAGGTCATAGTGACGCTCAGCGCTCAGAGGTCAGTGTGACGCACAGCGCAGAGGTCAGAGTGACGCACAGCGCAGAGTGGCGCACAGCGCAGAGGTCAGTGTGATGCACAGCGCACCGTCTCACCGTCTCTGCAGTCTTCCTCCCAGCCTGGCAGCTGAGGAAGCTGCAGAAGATAGCGGATGTCATCGAGGAGCCAGAGATGGGACACTACCACCACGGCGATCGTTCCCTTGTGTTCTCTCTTCTCATCGGCCGCTCTGTAGCTACAGCGGCCGATGAGAAGAGAGAACAGAAGCGAGCCCATAGTGTCCCATCTCTGGTCCCGCCGGCGGTGCTCCTCGATGAGATTCCACTCACCTCACCCCCCCCGCAATTTTCACTCGCCAATTGCGAGGGGGCGAGTGGAAATTTTGAGGCCTGCTATATAGGACAATATCCAATCATATCCAATCATCCTTTACTATGCAGACGACCAATCATATACCATACAGAGGACTGATCTCCTGCAGTATAGGGGAGTGATTATATTGTAATGAGGACCATACCCATAAAGAGGGGCATTCCTATACTGTATAGAGGACTATATAGTACAGAGGACCGATCCTAAACACTACAGAGGACCAATCTTATATAATACAGAGGACTGATCCTAAACAATACAGGACTAATCGTATATAATACAGAGGACCGACCCTAAACAATACAGTACTAATGGTATATAATACAGAGGACCGACCCTAAACAATACAGGACTAATCTTATATAATGCAGAGGACAGATCCTATACTGTACAGAAGACCAATCCTATACTGCATAAAGGACTGCTCTTATATAAGACAGAGAACCGATCCTATACAATATAGAGGACCGATGTTGTATAATACAGAGCACCGACTTTATAATATGCAGTGGAGCAATCCCATACAGTATCGAGCAGTGCTTCTTAAAGTGTGGGTCGCGACCCCATATGGGGTCCCGCAAGTGAACAGGGGGGTCGCGATCAGAGTCCCCGGAGAGGACCGCCATCAGGGGGGTACTTGTGTGAGGGGCCCAGGCGGCTGAGGAGGTCTGGGCTCCAAGCTAGATTGTTTTATTTCAGTTTAATGTATAATTTGCAGTGTAGTGTAGTTTTTAAGGTTGCAGCCCCCCCTGTGCACTTGGTACCTTCCTGAGCACGTGTGCGCATGGTTGGAGGAGGGAGAGAGACACTGACTGACTGGTGCTGGGGAAGGGAGAGAAGAGGAGCGAGACACTGACTGGTGCTGGGGGGAGGGAATGAAGAGGAGAGAGACACTGACTGGTGCTGGGGAGGAGAAGAGGAGAGAGACACTGACTGGTGCTGGGGAGTACAAGAGGAGAGAGACAGTGACTGGTGCTGGGGGGGAGAAGAGGAGAAAGACACCGACTTACGCTAGGGGAGGGGGGAAGACACCGACCGACGTTGGGGTCCCTAAACATTTCCTCAGCCAAAAAGGGGTAATGAGTGGAGAAAGTTTAAGAAGGCCTGGTATAGAGGACCAAGCCTATACTGTACAGAGGACCAAACCAATAGTGTATAGAGGAGCGATCCTATACTGTTTAGAGCACCGATCCAATACTGTACAGCAGACTGATCCTATAATGTATAGAGGAGCGATCCTATACTGTACAGCGGACCAAACCTATAGGGTATAGAGGAGCGATCCTATACTGTTTAGAGCACTGATCCAATACTGTAGAACAGACTGATCCTATAATGTATAGAGGACCAATCCCATACAGTGTATGATCCCCTGATCATACACTGTACAGAGGACTGATTCCATACAGTATAGAGGGCCAATCCTATACTGTACAGAGGATCAAACCTATAGTGTATAGAGGAGCGATCCTATACTGTTTACTGCAGTAGTTCTCAACCTGTGTAACCTCAGGACCCACATTTGTCCTTGGTCATTAAGTCATGACCCAAGTCACACTGCATTGGAAAGCACAGCATTAATTAGGGTACGGCGCTTTCCGGTGCGGGCGTATGAACTGTGTGTGGGAGGTGTGTTTGGGGTGCCATTCAAATGAATGGCAACACAACACACCTCCCACACCAGAATGCACAGTAGGCGCGATTGCGTGGTGCAGTGCGTTAATCGCACTGTACTAGTTTGAACGGGCCCTCAAAAACACTCAGACATTCTCACACACACACTCCAGAAAGTGGTTTTTTATTATTTTTTAAGGTCCACCCAGTCTCTCTACCTTACGAGAAATGGAGTACATCCTCAGCCTGGGGTCCGGTATGGGTTGCTGTGCTGTGACAGAGCTCCATCCATATGTGCATTGCTTGTACAATTCCCTTGCATGCCCTGTAGAGGTGACGGGAGCCAGAATGTGACGTCACTCCGTTCCAGGAACCTCTACAGGGCACGCGCGGGAGCTGTAAGCAATGCATGTATGGACCGATCCTTTAATGTACAGATGACTGATGTTATACAATACAGAGGACCAATCCTATAAAATACAGAAGACCGATTCTTTACTATAAAGAGGACCGATCTTACACTGTATCGAAGGTCTATCCTATACTGTACATAGAGCTATTCCTATACTGTATAGATACCCTATCCTATACTGTATAGAGGACCTATCCTATACTGTATAGAGGACCTATCCTATACTGTATAGAGGGCCTATCCTATACTGTATAGAGGGCCTATTCTATACTGTACATAGTGCTATTCCTATACTATTTGGGGGCCTATTCTATAATGTATAGGGTTTTTGTTACACTGTATAAAGATCAGTTCCTGCACTGAATATATTTCTTTTCATATAGAGTACAGGTAGAGGAAGTGTTATCCCAAAGATCTATCATTTGTTATTATTAATATACGTTATTTCCCTTGATTCATCACCCTCTTCTCCGGAATGATGAAGTAGAGTAGAATGTATCCAGTCTGTTTTTTTGGGGTCACAACATTTATTTCTCAATGTCACTAAGTTTTTGTCAATCTCTCTACTTTTCAGGTCATGATTTTCTCATCAGTCTTCTATAATATATATGTAGAATTCATTGAAGATACATTCATATATAGATCATCCCTTGAGATGAATTACCCCGGATGGATGTGAGCTGTATGGGGACTCTGTCACCCCTCCACCTGGTTCTGCAGGGGCGGCAAGCATGTAGAGAATGCTGTTGGTGGAAACCAGAAAAACGACTTTTAGCTGTGAAGGTGAAATGCCCCAGGGGACACAATAGCCAAAGGGGGCTACAATAAAAACACTTTATTTCCAAGACTTCGCTCTCACAAACAGGTTCTTCAGGAGACAGTACAATGAGGTCTCTGTCACCTTTTTTCACCTGCAAAATATGGCAACACTTCACTCTCCCAGACTAGCATTGCCAATTTCTCACACTTCGACCCCCCCTCCCAACCAACCTCCACCTCCTCCCCCACACCCCGGTATGGAGAGAATACCATTATTAGGGATCAGCCGAGGTCACAGGTGGGCTGTGCACGATTTATCATGGGCTGTGCAGGATCTATGGTGCGGTGTCTGTAGTAGGGTCTGAAGGGTCTCAGTTGGGCTGTGAAGGATCTCCGGTAGGCTCTGCAGGGTCTCAGCCAATTACCGCAGCCTGCATTTGGGAAGATTCACCCAAATCTAGCTGGCTGGATACACACATGCAGATGCAAATCTTGCATACAACCTGGTGCACACTAAGGGTTGTGAAACAGTTAGGTAATGCCCACACTTTCTCAAAGCTATCCTGTGAGATAGAACCATGGTCGGCTTTCACCTTTCCCACTGCCCCCATACAGCCACACTGCAGGCACACGACTTAGGGGAGCTTGCCACCACCTGCAGGTTATATGGACCAGCCAGTTCTGATTGCTGGGTATGGGTTAGGATTTTCGATGCCAGTGCATCATCCCAATCACAGCAAGTTCAAAACACTGTATGACTGCCATGTTACTGTTTGATATGTCCCTAGGTTGTTCTATAAGGCCGGGACATACAATGCATCCATGTGTAGCTGTAAGAAAATGTCTCACTTCTACATTTTAATGTCATACACAGCACTTAGGTACCTCCCTCACTTGACCCCCAGAGCGAGAGCAGAGTCTTTATTATCATGTGTTCCTGGATATCAGGATGACGGTACATTACACTGTGTCATGGATATTGGGTGACTAGTACACTATCCTGTGTCCCGGGATATCAGGGTACATTATCTTGATAGGTACATGACCGGTACATTATCCTGTATCTTAGGATATTGGGGTGATGGGTACATTATAATGTGTTCTGGGATATCAGGGTACATTATCTTGATAGGTACATGTTAGGATATAGGTAGGTACATTATCCTGCATCTTAGGATATCGGGGTGATGGGTACATTACAATGTGCTCCAGGATATCAGGGTACATTATCATGATAGGTACATGACAGGTACATTATCCTGTATCTTAGGATATTGGGGTGATGGGCACATTATAATGTGTTCCAGGATATCAGGGTACATTATCTTGATAGGTATATGATAGGTACATTATCCTGTATCTTAGGATATTGGGGTGATGGGTAATTTGTCGTGTGCTCCAGGATATCAGGGTACATTATCTTGATAGGTACATGATAGGTACATTATCCTGTATCGTACGATATTGGGGTGATGGGTACATTATAATGTGTTCCAGGATATCAGGGTATATTATTATCCAGTGCTCCAGGATATGGGGTTGATGGATGCATTATCCTGAGTTCCAGAAAATGGGGGTGACAATCCCTGAGATCTAGGATATGGGGGGATCAGGTTCATTATCCTGCGTCATGGTATATTTTGGGTACTGGTGCATTATTCTTTGTCCCGGGATATGGGGGTGACAGGTACATTATCTGTTGTCTGGGGATAATCGGAGTGACAGGTACATTATCCTGAGTCAAAGATATTGGGAGAAGAGATTATCCTGAGTCAGTGAAGAAGTCGGTATAGGTGATCTGACTACCAGACAAGCAGATTCTACATTGCAGAGGATCCCCACTGTCTCCTTGGTTTGTAGTGTCAAATTGAAGGCTTGTGATTTGAAGTTCTACGCTCCATTTAAAAGTTTTCAGATATATATTTAATCAATGTAGGGTTGAGGGGTATATAAAGTATAGAAAAAGCCAATGCATTTCGGGAGCTCATACAAATACTCCCTTCATCAGGGCTAACTAAGACGGAACATGTATCAGGACTGTGATGACTTGAAATTGGATACTGTTTTGTCCAGTGTGTGAGAATGCATAGAGTTCTTCAGCAACTGATTTGGCAGGGATATGAGGGTGACAGGTGGATTATTCTGTGTCCCACAGTATTGGGGTGATAGGTACATTATTCTGTGCCTCTGGATATCATGCTGATAGGTACATTTGACTGTGTCCCAGGATACCATGGTGATGGGAACATTATCCTGTGTCCCAGGATATCAGGGTGATAGGTACATTATACTGTGTTCTGGGATATTAGGGTGATAAGTATATTGTCCTGTGCCACTGGATATCAGGGTGACATGTATATTATTCTGTGTCCCTGAATATTGGGGTGATAAGTACATTATTCTGTGTCCCTAGATATCAGGGTGATAAGTAAATTATTCTGTATCCCAGCATATTGGGGTGATGGGTACATTATTCTGTATCCTGGGGTATCGGGCTGATAAGTATATTATTCTGTGTCCCAGCATAACGAGGTGATAGATGCATTACTCTGTGTCCTTGGATATCAGGGTGATACGTAAATTTTATTGTGTCCCTGGATATCGGGGCGATAGGTACATTATGCTGCCTCCCGGGATATCTGGGTGAAAACTACATTTTATTGTGTTCCCAGATATCGGGGTGATAGGTACATTATTCTGTGTCCCAGGATATCGGGGTGATTGGTACATTATTCTGTGTCCCAGGATATTGGGGTGATAGGTACATTATTCTGTGTTCCAGGATATCGGGGTGATAGGTTCATTTTCCTGTGTCCTGTATATATAGGGGTGCCAGTAATGTCTCTCTCCATGTTTTCACACTCCTCCGTCACTCCCGACACTCCTCCAGAATTTCTTGCGTTGGAGAAACTGGTCGGTCTGGTTTTTTTCTAATCCAGCTTTGAGTGAGTTAGAAAGGAACAGACGGTGACACAGTCCTCGCCCTGCACTCAAGCATCGGACCCTCCACCAAATCTAGGCACAATGTCACCAGGACACTGGCGTTCCCCACTGTGGCCCCCCAGGATCTGGAGGCATGTGAGGACCCTACTGCTGCTTTTCCTCAACTGCACAGGTAGGACACTGATGTGTGAACTGTAGATGGGAGTACCACCCCGTGTGTGTGTGTGGGGGGGGGGTGTACTCCATGTACAATGTGGTCACTTTATGTCTGTTTCTTTCTCCATACCTCCTATGGTCAGGTCCGCGGAACTCCTCCAATAGAGTTTTGTTGGGATGTCTCTCTTATAGACAGGTCAAGGATATTTCCCTATTTAGAGGTCTTGGGATGTCTCTCTTAAAGACAAGTCCAGGATATCTCACTCTATAGAGGTCTTAAGATGTCTCTTTTATAGACAGTTGCAGGGATAAACCCTATATAGAGGTCTTGGGATCTTTTTTTATTATTATTATTTTTATTATTAATAATAATAATATCTCTTTTATAGACCAGTCCAGGAATAGCTCCCTAGATACACAGGTCCGGGGATAAGTCTCAGGATTCTCCCTTGAAAACAAGTCCAGGGATAGCTTCATACTGTATATACAGGTCTCAGGATGTCTCACAGGTACGGGGATAGCTCCCTATATAGAGGTCTCAAAGGTCTCAGGATGTCTCTACAATGGAAAGTGTGGTCCCACTATGGAATGACAACCACAAGGCAGGGAAGTCCTGGAGTCTCCACATCCCCCTTCCATGCAATATGAGGACTGGTGGTAAACTGAGTGAAGTTACCCCCAGGGAGGGCAAGCAGAGCTCTGACCACATGCAATATGAGGACTGGTGGTAAACTGGGTGAAGCTACCCCGGGGTGGGCAAGCTGAGCTCTGATCACATGCAATATGAGGACTGGTGGTAAACTTTGTGAAGTTATCCCAGGGAGGGCAAGCAGAGCTCTGGCCACATGTAATATGGGGATTGGTGGCACACATGTAATATGGGGATTGGTGGCACACTGGGTGAAGTTAACCCAGGAAGGGTGAGCAGCGCTCACATGGCACATAAACAGATAGAAGAATAATGAAAGAGCATTCACTCCTGCATTGACTTAGCAAATACCAGTAATCAGCACTATGGCAAAGCAAACCCACAAAAAAGGGGAAGGGCAGGACGGATACCTTGTTTGTGTATAGCTTTATGTCATGTGTGTGTTTATTAAAGGAAAAACATGAGCTGCCATTACTTTTCATGTCATCCTTATGCGTGCTGCACCAGTAGTGAACCAGAACAGAAGTTTATGCATATTGGTGTAGGTTAAGGGTAGGTTCCTCGAGACATTTCCTAGGGTAAAGCTTCCTTTGCCAGGTTCCTGTTCTTAGCCTGTGCCTTTCATGATAGTGGCACAAGGATCAGGATAGCAGCCCTGGATCCTGCACCTTGGCTGTTTTTACGTCTCTGTTCTCTTGGGTTCACTTTGGCTATATTGGTCCCATATAAAGGGGACCTGTCACTTTGAGTGTTCTCTTATTCCGAGAACAGCTCTGACATCCTCCCATCACCCCTGCTTTCATGTCCCCATAACCTTCTATTGATTCAGACTGTTTGTTCCTGGGCTCTCGATTTCCTGCAGAGAATACATTGTATCACAAATTATTTGTTGAGAAATGGCCATGAAGCAGGGTGACACACACACACACAGAGCATTCCGATGTCACCGTGATTCATTATTCTGGGGTGACATGAAGTCTACACACAGTCCTCTGATCGGGCTGTGTGAGTTTATAACATGCTAGATCTGACTGAATTCCTTGTAAAAGGTTCCAGCCCTCCTGATACACTGTAATTAAAGGTTTAGGAGCTGTGAGAGTTTGCTGAGCTGTGTCAGTACTTGGGGGGTGGGGTAGAAGGGGATCCCTGAGATTCTGCGGAGCTGTGTTCGTATTGTGGGTGTTGGGGCAGATGGATTGTCAGTATGGGGCATGTTCGGCCAGATGGACTGTCAGTATGGACCATGTTGGGCCAGATGGACGGTCAGTGTTGGGGGGTTTTGAGGCAGATGAACTGTCAGCATGGGCCATGGTGGGGCAGATGGACTGTTAGTACTGGGGGTGTTAAGGCAGATAGACTGTCAGTATGGGCCGTGTTAGTGCAGATGGACTGTCACTATTGGGGTGTTGAGGCAGATAGACTGTCAGTATGGGCCTTGTTAGAGCAGATTAACTGTCACTATGGGGGGTGTTGGCATAGATGGACTGTCAGAATTGGGGGTGTTGGGGTAGATGGACTGTCATTATGCACCATATTGGGACAGAAGGACTGATAGTATGGCCATGTTGGTGCTGAAAGTCTGTCAGTATAGGAGGTGTTGGGGCAGATAGACTGTAAGAATGGGGGTGCTAGGGCTAATGGTATGGGGGGAGGAGTAGTGTTAGGGCAGATGGACTATCAGTGTTGAGAGTCCATACAGGTCACACAGGTGTGTGGAGAATGCAGGGCCTGTGTGATATTCTACCCCCCAGCTCACCTATCACAGGTGGGGGCGACACTCATACAGGTGAGTAGAGTGCTCTGCCTGTATGATATAGCACTCCCTATATTACCTGTCACAGGTGGGGTCCACACTCGGGGGGCAGTTCTCTACCTGTTAGATATAGCACTCTTTATTTTATCTGTTGCAGGAGGGGGTGCTCTGCCTGTGTGATATAGCACTCCCTATCTGACCTGTCACAGGTGGGGTCCACACTTATACAGGGGAGGGGGGAATGCATTACCTGTGTGATATAGCACTCCCTATCTTACCTGTCACAGGTGGGGTCCACACTTATACAGGGGAGGGGGCAATGCATTACCTGTGTGATATAGCACTCCCTATCTTACCTGTCACAGATGTGGTCCACACTTATACAGGGGAGGGGGGAATGCATTACCTGTGTGATATAGCACTCCCTATCTTACCTGTCACAGGTGGGGTCCACACTTATACAGGGGAGAAGGGAGTTCACTACCTGTATGAGATAACACTCCCCAGCCTACCTTATAGGGCTGAACCAGAGAATCCTGTCTCAGGTGTAGTCCTCAGATGGACTAACCCAGACACAGAGGGGTTGAACAGAGAGGCGGCTCAGTCTCAGTCAGGTGTGATTGTGACATAGTTTAGCAGCAGGCCTGGGTGGTATAATGTGCCCAGTATCACATCCACTTGGCTGTGTATTCCGTCTCCCGTAGTATTTGGCTGAATTAAACAAACATGAAGCAATGGCATGCAGTGAAAGGCCTGAACAGAAAACATTCTAATCCCTCCAAACAGTACGGCCATCCCATTCCTGTTATTGACTCATCAAATATTACTTCCACAATAGACAGGGAGGGCCAGATAAACATGGCCTGCTCGGCACACTCACCTTGCTGCAAAGGGGAATTTATAGAACTTTTATTAGCTGGCAATACAAAAAAAATTCTGCACTTTGCATATTGTTTTTTTTTAATGGGTATTATCTATTTATTTCTTTACTATGCTGCAAAAACAGAGCAATCATCAATACTGCTTATATTTCGCACATTGCAGATATTGCATGACTGTTAACCTCCACAAATTTTATCAATTTTCCCAAAGTGCCTGTGTGTGTGTTCGAGGTCACAGCTCAAACATGTTACAGTCAGAAAACACTAAAAAAGATTAAAGAGACATTCTTCAGTGAAAAAAGCAATGCCTCAAAAGTTCTCATGGACCTCAGACGGTTGTTGGAGGCACCACTTCCAACTGTCCATCGCAGGAATATCACAGCCTGTTTGTGCACCATGTTTTTTGTTTTAGAGCAAGGTAGAGGATGAGATGAGGGGTGTTGCTTATCACAGTAGTGATCTTAGCTGGTTTCTGTCTGATTAATTATTTCCTCTGAGTTTAGTCATGGGACAGTCATGCAAAGGTTCCATAGGCTTGATAGTGTTGCCCAATCCAGCCAAAAACTAACCATTCAAGTTTAAACAGCAGCGGTAATGTCTTTCCTAAAAGCCATGTAGATATCCACTCGTTCACACTGCCACAGAGATATGAGTGACCTGACCTGTACTACTGTATGATGGTTGATACAGTGCCTGTTATAAGATGGCAGGAGAAAAATGATAAAATCATGGGTAGACAGCAGTTCTGATAATGGGAATACTAGTGTATTGGAGGAAAAAGTAATGGGATTATGGGATGTTGAGATATGTGATGGAAAGGTGGCAAAATAATGTAGCGAGAGGATGGGATGGTGGCAGCAGGGTGAAATATTGTAGGGAGGAGATGATGGGAGGACCGTAGAATGGCAGGGTAAAGTTATGGGTTGATAGGATATGAGATGGGAGGATGGCAAAATAAGATGGTGGGAGGATGAGATCATGGTGACAAGGTGAGACATTGAAAGTATGAGATGATGGGAGGACCACGGGATGGCAGGGGAAATTTATGGGATGTGAAATGGGAGGGTGGCAGCATAAGGCGGTGAGAGAATGAGATGATGGTGGCAAGATGGAATATGTCAAGACGAGAAGATGATCAGTTGACTGTAATAACAGGGTTGGAGAATTAGGTTGTGGGATTATGAGATATGAGATGGAAGAAGGCCAGAATAAGGTGACATGAGAATGAGATAATGGTTTCATGGAAGGATAGCAGGTGTAGGTGATGTAAGAAATGAAAGTAAAAGAGATGGATTTATGGGATATTATGCAACGGTTGGAAGAGATAAAGAATACTGGGAGACAGGATAATGGGAGGAATAGTTGATGAGAATACTGAAGGACGGGATGAAAGATAAAGGTTGAAGGATGGAAATTGGAGGATAATTTTATGGGATGGGGAAATATATGATTGAAGGATGGTAGAATAAAGTGATGGTAGAATGAGATAATGGAATTATGGGAGGACTGTCACTGGGACAATGTTATCACCAGAACAGGAAGTAAAGAAAAGGAAATGGTGAAGCATAGGGGAATAATGATGAGAAGGGTGGGATCATGGATGGATGGGGTAGTAATGATGAAATTGGTGGGATCATGGAGGGGTGAGGACATAATGAGGAGAGTATTGGAATCATGGAGGGGTGAAAAAATAATGGTGAGAGGGGTGGGATCATAGAGGGGTGAATAAATAA